CCAGGCCCTTTCCCGCCGGGCAGCTCCCAGCCGCTCCTCCCCACGCCTGCAGCGGTGCCTGGGGTTGCTGTGCCCCCAGTGCAGGACCCGGCCCTGAGCCTTGCTGACCCTCACCCAGTGCCTGGGCCCATCGCCCCAGCCTGGCCAGGGCCCTCTGCAGGGCCTTTCCTACCCTCCAGCAGATCAATGCTCCCACCCAACTTCCACCAACATATTCCAGCGCAGAGCAGCACTGGTGATGCATGAGCCCAGGCCCTGCACGCCCACACGCACTCTCCGGGCACCCTTTTGTGGGTACAAGGTGTTGCCCCCTCGACCTTGTGGCAGGCTGGGCGGAGGGGGAAGGCGCAGGCAGCAGGAAGGCTCCTGCCTGCCTGTCCTCAGTGACCCGGAGCACGCAGCGGGCAGGGCAGGGCTGCGTGACGTGGCTGCGCCAAGCTGCAACGCTCGAGTCCCTCTACTCTTGCTCCCCGTCTGTTGGTCTCCTCCATGGATGCCCAAACTCTTCAAGCTTTTCCCTGCTCTCCCTGCCCTGCCAGCCTTTCTGGTACAGCTAACGCTCCAGACGCGCCGGGGAAGGCAGGCCCTGCCTCCTTCCTCTCCCCAGATCTTAAGAAAATCCCCAGCTCCAGGCCAGGAGGGGAGGGACGCCTTCTGTGAGCCTCAAAGGCCGCTTGACGCCAGGCACACGGGACGCCAGCTGCAGTGCATCTGACCACACACAGGCATAAACAGGGAAGCACTATCTGACCCCCAAGACCTTGGGACAGTCAAGGACAAACAAGGGATGCAGGTGGACCCGGGAGCGATGTAGGAGAGGTCACTTGCTGGAAACACAGAACCGTCTTCTAGATACAGCTGTATTTGTGCAAACCTCTTCACAGATCAACTTGTCCCAACCTCCGCCCAACCCACCTGGAAAAGACTTATTCCATAGGGCACAATTCTGCCGCGTGGACAGGCGGCCATCAAGCAGAGGGAGCCAAGTCACTGCAGAAACATGTCCCCTGCCCTCCCTCGCTGGCCAGGCCCCGGAGGCTCCCTCCCTTCCCCGTCGCACCGCTCCCAGCAGCGGCTCCTTCCCCTCCGGCAGCTGCCTCCCCTCTCAGAGCAGAGCCAGGCTGGCAGACCCCCGGCGCGTGTGCTCGGGCCGGCACCTCACCTTATGGAATCGGATGACCGGCTCGGGATGGATGCGGATGATGTGCAGACACCAGCGATAGCCCTGAAGCAGCTGTGCAAACAAGCGGAGGAAGACGGCACGGATCTCCTTATCCTGCAAAGAGGGAAGGACAGCGTGGTCAGGCAGAGGCTGCGGATGAGCCAGCTCACGGGGGCAGGAGTTGACACCCAGCACAGAGGCGAGGGGATCAAACCACGTGTCGGGGTCAGCATCTGCTGAGCAGGGCAGGAAACTCGGCACAGATTCCAGGGAAAAAGGGACATGGCAGGCTGGATTCACTGCTCTGCCTCCCCTTCGCAGCATCCCCGACGCTGCACGCAGAGGAAAAGGGAGCTCCCACAGCCCTGGGGTTTGCTCAAGCGCCCAAACGTTCGGTGTCTGCCTCCAGCCCCTGCTCCAGCGCGGCAGCAAACCCGGCAGCCCCTGTCCACGGGCCAGCTACTGAAACGGCACTGCTGGCTCCCAGGCCGCGGCTTGGAGCTGCGGCCTCGGTGTCCTGGCAGTATTGCGCTTTGCCTCTTAACCTCAGCAACACCAAGATGGAGACAGGCCTGAAATCGTGCCTGTCCACTCCATGCCCAAGAAACGGGGTGTCCAGCAGGGACGGCAGCCTCCCAGGAGGGGTCCCCCTTCCTCCCCGCTCCACTCACCTGCATTTTGAGAGAAGAGGCAGAAATCGTTGAAGGGGGGAATGCGAGATCTGCCACCTCCAGCTCTGGGTCCAAGACCTGCACAGACAAGGCACAAAGCACGCTCAGCCCTGGCCCGGGGGGAACTCTGCCTTCACAGCTGGAAAAAGCGAGTGGCATTCCCCAGAAACCCAACAGCACCCACAGAAAAGGTCCGAGGAGCCTGGAAACAAACCTACAGGGCTGGAACCACCAGGTATCAGAGAACACTCTGCCGTACAAAGGAGGCCTGACCCTTCCTCGTGAAGCCCCGCTGCCCGGAGTGCAGACCCCGGGGACAGCTCGGCGGGCTGAGGGCAGGGGGAAGGGGGAGACGCACGCCGCGGGAGGGCCGGGGGCTCAGCACAGCGGGGCTGCGACAGAACCAGCCCCCCCGCTGCCCCCAGCCACGGGCGAGGAGCAGAAGCTGAGGCGCGCAGCATTTGTTTGGCGCGGCTGTCCTGGGTAGGCTCTCGCATGGCCGGCGCTCTCCGAGAACACGCGAGCAGCCAGAAAAGCTTCAGGGCCGCAGCTGCTTCCTGCCCACAGGCTGGGAGCCAGCCGCCTGATTCCCAGAAACCTTTGGCAGAACCACCCCCCTCCAGCACTGCCATGTGCCAGAGGCCATCAGGATCAGGAGAGGTCCCCTGGGCCAGAGGCCATCAGGATCAGGAGAGGTCCCCTGGGCCATGGTCAGCAGGACCCCGAGATAAGGACCTCTGCTCTCAGAAGAGTCCCTGCTGCTCCGTCCCCAGCCCCCCTTGGAAATGTGCACCATTCCTGAGGTGTTTGCAGCCTGCAGACGGGGAACGGCTGCAGCACTCACCATGGAGAGGGCTTCCCGGGTCTGCTGGAGCAGAGGTTCAGGGAGCAGGGAGATATGGACACACTCGGGGACGTTCACTGTCCCGCCGTCCAGGTCTGCGATAACGACATCCAGCTGGAAGTGGCAGGAGAGGCATGAGACAAGGCCAGGCTTTCCGACACCCTCCCCACCACCTCCCGCTGGGCGACGGAGAGCGAGCGAGGGGGCAAGCCCAGCTCAGGAGAGGAGGGTTTGGGACCGGTGTCTGACTCCTCTCCATCTTCTGCGAGCACTCTAGTTACAACACTAGTTATCTTCTCTTATCCACCATCACCAGACCCAAGCATTTGCCAATACACAAGCTACAAAGGGATCCCATGCTCCCTGCAGCGAGGGTGGCAGGGGGAGGACGACCTGGCAGGAGAGGGACGCAGCTCTGCTCGGCAGGCACCTGCCGTGACTTTGTGGCATCGGACTCCTCGGCACCTTATCAGCCCGGGTGAGGCGTCCGACACCGACCCGACACAGAGCCCATCCTGCTTAACCCCAGGGGCACGCTGCAGTTTGTTCAGAAGGCTGCGCAAAAGCTTGTTTCAGTTTAGGTCGGACTCGTTATGCTTTGATTTAATTCAGTTTCTAAACTGAAGTGCCAACACAGCCTCTTGGACCAGCGCTGCCAGCCAAGTCTCAGATCAAATCCTCGGCTAACCCCAGCCGTTCGTGTGCAGGCTCTGCAGCCCAGAGCCCCGACGACGCGTGGCCCAGCCAGCCCCGCTTGGCTTGTGCGGCACGTCTGGATCGCAGCCCGGGCTGGCCAGCCTGAACAAGCAGAGCCTGTGCGAGCCGGTGTGGTCAGCCTGCTGCCCCGGGCACCCTCAGGACAACGTTTGCCGCTATCTGAGACTGCTGACACATGACCCCTGCTTCTTCCTTGGACCGCTTCTGCTCCCGGCACAAGGGACAGGGTACACGGCCTCTCACCAGCTCCTGCGTCTCCGACTGGAAGATGGAATGGACTCCAATAATGAAGGGTGTTGGCGTGCTCAGTACCTCAAGGAGCTGTGCAGGCAAGATGGGCACATACGTGAAACTGCAACCAAAAAAGAGCATCACTGCAGCCAGTCGAGCCCTGCTCTCTACCCAAGCACCGTCCTCGACACCAGCCGACAACCCCCACCTCCGGAGGCTGCGGGGTGACTACGTCCCCAGAAAAACAGGCTTTCTCCTGGCACTCTCAGCCCTTCGGACAGTACGTGCCCGGCAGCTGCGCAAGGTTTCTGAAGGCTCGTGGACACTGACCATGATCATTCTCTGGCCCTGGAGTTATAATCTAAGTCTGACCAAGGGAAAGGTTTCCAGCAGAGCAATTTAAGTCCAAAAGAAGGCTTTCTTTGGAATACAAATAGCCTTTCTGCAGCCTGGGGGTATGGCAGGCCAGCATGGAAACAGTGCACCAGGAGCTGGCAGCAACAATGGCCTGTCTATCTCAACTGTCCTACTTGGGAGATGTGCAAACAGCCCCAGTGGCGGCCAGTCTGCGAGCCGGCGGCCCCCGGCGGGCCCCGCCGGGCA